GGCTGGAGCAGCTCCCACCCGGCCGCGCTCCCCGTGCCGGGCTGCAGCCGGCTCCATGGTGTCCCTAAGGGAGTGGGAGTGACAGAGCGGGCCCAGGTACCGAGTCCCCGTCCTCCGATGCTGCCTGGAAGGGGCTGGCCAGGAGCCGGCCTGCCGTGAGCTGGGGCAGGGTTGGACGGCCTGGTGAGGTCCCTCCAGCTCTTAATTTCCTAGGATCCTAAGAACAACCTCGCTGTATTTTCTGCTCTCGTGTAGTTTGAGAAGCACCGACAAAGAGGAGGGAGGAAAGACAACATTGCACAGGAAACAAGACCTGCCCTTGACAGAAAACTGAGGGCTTCAGGCTGGGGTACCCCAAAGCGGGACACAGTCCTTCTAACAGGCCCACGTTCATCCCCTTCATGGCCACAAGCTGAGGACACAGTTGATCAACTCTAAGCTTTTATTAGTGAAGTCCAACCCCTATCTGTCAAAGAACAGAAGTCCCCACATCTTTGAACAGATCTGCACGTTATGTGCAACCCTTAAACGTGGGGCAAGCTTTTTACAGCTGATCATAAGACCTGAAAAGCTTGCTAACATGCCTCTTGTGTATAAGTGTCACATCCCAACTTTCCATTCATTTGAAAGGATATTCCCTGGGAATAAGACAGCAGTATTTACTTATGCAGATAATCATATGTTTATGGGTAGATATTTGCTATTTGCCCTCTGATCCCAGAGAATAACTATAATGTTCAGTGCTTTCAGCAGCATGCATTCCCATGCTAACATCTGAAACACTTTTCTATGACACTTGGTGGAGCAGTAAAGCAGTTGAGTTTATTAAGCAAACATAGCTCAATAAGTACTGTAAATTACAAAAAAGAAAAATGAAATAAGCAGATCCAAGCTGGACACAGTTGGTTCATGCAGAAATTCTGTAGGGACAGTTCCTGCAATTCTTATGGTCCATGATTAGGAAGTAGCAACATATTGTTGTAGTGGAGAACGTGCATAGGAAATTACAGTATGAAACATGCCAGGATTGCCCTAGTCCTTGTTGGTTCTGGAATGAAAGATGCTATAGAAATGCAAAATGTCTGTTTGTTAAAGAGTAGCGTGGGTTCCTCCATCCACAGAAGAGTACTGAAAAAGCAGTGCAATTGTCTGGGAAATGTTAAAGTTATCTCTTTAATAACAGCAATAGGTGAAGGAGGTAGAGCCTTTCCATAACTGTCACTGCCTTTCTGTTATGAAATTCTGTCACAGTTTCTATTGGGGTAGAAGACAAGACAAGATACTGATTATCTAGTAACCAGTGTTTGTGGGGAATCCTGCCTTGAGCAAGGGATTGGACTAGATGACCCTTGAGGTCCCTTCCAACCCAACTTTTCTCTGCTTATGTGATTAGTTTAAAGAGAAAATCAAGCAGGTTGAAAGGAGGATGCTTGAGAGGAGGTCATTAATGCAAATAACTTTAAAGCCAAAACAGTGAAAAACACCACTTGTCTACATGGAGAATCAGTCTGTTACAGCAGTAGTGGAATTATTCTGTTAGAGCTGTACTACAATGTTTTTCTGTGTAGTCGAGTCATTAGTATTTTTGTTAATCATCTTGATTTCAGGGAGGTCCAAAAAGCAGTGAATACTGCTCAGGGGTTGTTTCAGAGATGGACGGAGCTCCTGCAAGACCCTTCTATAGCCACAAGAGAAGAAATTGACTGGACAACTAATGAGCTCAGGAACAACCTGCGGAGCATTGAATGGGACCTGGAAGACTTGGATGAAACTATTAATATCCTTTATATGGACCTGTTACAGTTTAGATACGGCCTTGTGTTATTTCTACCTGAAGGATGAGGCTGGCTTTTAAAGAGTAATTCAGTTTCTTGGAAAATATGCGTTGTGTGCTATAAAGTTCTTTCAGAAGCTGCTGTTTTCATAAGATATCATTGTATGGTTTAGACCAGAATTATTCAACCTATGGATTGTGACCCAAAATAATATATGAAAGGGTTTCAAACAAAAATGGATCAACAAACTTTAAAAATGGATTATCCTTTAAAGGAGAACAACTTGGGAAATGGTGGCTTTTCCCTTGCAAGCTGGCAGAGTTCCAGCCTGTGAGGGGCTGCATGGGCCCTCCCCTGCCCCACACACTGGGGGCTGGAACGGCAGGGCATTCGGTCAGGATTGAGGGGCACTGGGTTGGGACTGGCCATCAATGTTTACAAATGGGTCCTAGTGCAAAAAAGGTTCAGAACCACTGATTTAGACAGTGGAGTCAGTGACATGCCAGCTTTTCCTTAAAGTAACCTTTTTTTTTATATCTCCTCTCTCCTTCTTGATCAGTAACATATAGTTAAAAGTAAGATGCCCTGTTCTAAAAGGCTCCTTCTGTGGGATGAATTTTAACTGGAGGCAGTCAGTCCTCTGTTACACTGAGCTCCAGAAAAGAGAGTTGAAAAAGGATTAAAATTAACAATTTCTGATAGTGCTATGCTGTGCCAGTCAGGTAAGCCAAAAAATTCCAGCGGGCTCTTTACATTGGTACACAATGGCAGGATGCAAGGACTGTTAAGCATCAGATGCATGATTTTCCTAACTAACCAAATCTTGGTCCAGTTAACTTTATTAATTATAGCACTTAGGTAGTACCTTTCAGGTAGCCAGGATATTTGCCTGAATGCTGACTACTGGTTCAGTAGTGTTTCCTTGACTTGTCATTAACGCATTGTTGAAGCAAATCCTCGGAAATTCAACCTTGATGCAACAGAGCTGGGTATAAGGAAAGCTTTCATCACAAGCACACGGCAGGTGGTCCGGGTAAGAGACTTGGGCTTACTATTTGGAAGGCAGCATCTACAGTAACGCAGTCCATAGTTTAGTCTAGTATCATAGATCATTCTCTGCCTTTTTCCACCGTAATCCCTGTCATAGGGATTCCTTAACTGTTCCATGGCGCACTTATTTGCAGCTTGCTAAGAGACTGGTTGCATGTTATTGTTGGCTTTCTTCACTTCCAGTCGCTTCAAGGGTCTAAACCAGGGGTAGGCAAAATGCGGCCCGGGGGCCAGATGTGGCCTGCCAGGCCATTCTGTCCAGCCCACGGGGCCACTAAAAAATTTAGAAAATTAATATTTTTCTGTCCCTGGCTGCCTGTCATGCAGCCCTCGATGGCTTGCCAAAACTCAGTAAGCGGCCCTCCACCCAAAATAATTGCCCGCCCCTGGTCTAAACTTACAATGAAGTGCTTGAATACTGAAAGAAGTATAGATGAAGAACAAACATAACTGCCTTTACTACCCTAAGGAGAGGAAACAAGATCTTGCTTTGAACATTAAGAGAAACATGCACCATGCAATTGTTATATTTGAATTGCAACCTTCTTCAGACTCAAAACCAGCTTTCATTAAACTGTTCAAAGGCACTTCTTGCTATTTACATGACAATATCAACTTCCTGCCCTCAGGTGTTCAATAAAAAGTCATTAGTTTTATTTTTAACTTGGTGAAGGTGAGAGAAAAAGGGTGGTAGGGGTGGGTTGGGTGGGAAGAGAGTGTGTTATTTAAGAATCTGAACAAAAAATAAGCTGTTTCTAAATATCACCTTTTGAGCACAGAAAACTTGGAAAATTTTGATCTACAAGGTGACAGTTTCAGAAAGTTTTAAAGTGAAAGCCAGGTTGGGATAGAAATACTTTCAGTCCTAACTATAGTGTAAGTACTGTAATTTTGAGGAAAAGGTCAGATACTTATGCCTAAATGGGTAAGAAGAATTCATGTGATGGAGGAAGATTTTAACAAGCTGAAGGTAATCAAAGTGAAGGAAACTGCTGTAGTGTTCACCAGCATGGTCACGTAACTAAATGCCAAGTTAACTTAAATTTTTGAACTTAAATTTTTTTTTCCTCCTGGGTTCAGTATTTCAACTCAGTTTTTGCTTGTTTTGACATGATTCTTGGTTGATAGTCAAATACTACTTTGCTTTTCTTTCTAGTTGAGAGCAGAATTCTTTTCCTATTTGCAGTGTTCTGGCCTAGCTATAATCCGTAAGGTTAGCAGCCTGCTGTCTAGGGAACTAATCCTGAAACTGTGCCAACCAAGGTAACAGACACATGCTTGTGTGGATGCCTCTGAATAGTCTTCTTACCTTATGAGCAGATCAGCATGCCTACAATATGCTTCTCTTGTCCAGATTGCAATCTGTTGACACTAACATGAAAATAACCAGGTCAAGGACATTTCCAAACATAAGTGGAATACATAACTTGAGCAATGTCTGATTTTTAATGTTAATTAAGCATTTTAATTTACATAGTTGACTTATACAGCTCTAGTATTTCTAATACTTACTGGAATGTTTTTGGGTTGTTTTTTTTTTTTACTTCTGAAAGTAATTCTTTTGGGTGGTTCCAGTGCTTTTGAAGTAACTTTACTACCTGGCTCTGATAAATCACGGTCTGAAACAAGAACACACCTAATTCTTCTGGTAACATCAGGTCTTTGTGCCAGTGTATAATGATATCATCTTATTTAAACCATTATATATGCATGGTAGAATTACTCTCTCAATGTTGACTGCTCTGAATATGTAACTTCTGCATTTGTTTATAATCTGATTTCATCTAAAGACCTCAGAGTGCTTTGTCAGCATCAGTTTAAAAAGCCAGTATGCACTCCAACCCCACAGCATAGTAAATGTATTTATGCCTGTTTTGTAGTAAAGAAACGGGCACCAACGTTGGCTTGTCAGAGGCACAATAATCATAGGCAATTGGGACTAAATTGGAGTTCCAAAAGTCGAGCCTTAATATCCTAATTTTTTTTCCCCTTCACTCCATTTATGGAAATAATACCATTTTCATCATTTTCACTTGAGGCAGTGGAGATTATGGAGAGGCACAACTGGCAGTAAATAACTAATATATGCCATTACAAGTGTTTGTAGGGTTCATTAACACCTTCTCTAGCAAGAATGCAACTGTGAATTGTAACAGTACTCTCAGAGTTCCTTCTAGGCTCTTCAGAATGTGTATGTTTGTAAGCAAATGGCTCGTTGGTTCTCCATAAAACTTGTCAAGCAGTGTTATGTACAATTTTGCTAGCTTGATAAAATGTTGGCTATTTTAAATTTGATATTCACATACCTTTTTTCCTTAAATAAACAGGAAATGAAGGATCAGATGTCAAATTCATCTGTGCAAGCATTGGCTGAAAGAAAAAACAGGCAGGTGAGAATTAGTAGCAGGCTGTCTGCTAAAGGATTTTTCAAGATACCTGTGATAGTAGTAGTAGGATTTATCAATTATAGCCGCTACTGAATTAAGCTATGCATTAAATGAAAGTACACCTAAGTTGTTAAGGGACCTCATGTATGCTAAAGTAGAGTTAAGTCTCTACTTGAGTAGTATAATGCATATAAGTAATATAATGCATAGCTTATATTAGTATTAAGTTGAGTGCTTATTTAAACATCCCATATGCCATGCTGTTCTAACATGGAACCCTCTGTCCAGCAGAAGCAATTGTAGCATTTGTCTTAAAATGGTGTCATATGCAAACTGAGAAGGTGTCTGGTTTGCTGCAATCTCTTGGCATTGTAGCCAGTGAGAATACTTGTTCTGACAGGCACAGTTGCTTAGATTCTTTAGAAGCGTAACAAAATATTATAAGGTATTACTCTCTGTCTTTTTCAAAACTGCTTACACACGTCAGTCAATTTTGCATTGTCCTTAGAGAAGAGGGAAGTATCTCTGTTTCTCAGAGGAGGGATCTGAGGCAGGAGAGGTTCCATAGTTTATCCTTCCATGCAGTGGTGGGTCCCAAGTCCTGGGCTGTCATTGCAGCATTCCTGACTCAGTGCCACATTTTGCTATGTTGATATAGTTGGATAGATGTGGTTGTCTCATAGTAAGTAGTTGGACATGAATTAATATTAGAAGGGTGGTTATCAAGTTCTCTTTGCTTGTAAGGACATGACTTACACCAACCTCCAACTGACAGGAGAGAGAGAAGGAGTTGCAGAGTTGACTTCTAGAGCTGCCTCTAGTGAAATGTCTGCATGCATAAATCACTTCATACAGCAGATGCACAGCTGAACCTTCAGCAGATTTATTACTGGTGTCAGAATTAACTGAAATTTTGGAAGTCTGGTAAGGAGGAGGGCAGCTCTAATCCTTAAATCTGTTATACAATAATGAAGTATCTTGTTTATGATCCTTATGTGTCTTCATAGGCACTCCTGGGAGAAAGTACAAGTCAGAGCTGGAGCTCTGGATCAGATAAATATGGTCGTTTGGATCGAGAGCAGCAATTAGCAAACTCGCACTTCATTGAGGAGCAGCAGGCTCAACAGCAGGTACAGTACTTCCTGTAGTCTGGATCCCCTGCTGACTGAATGTAAAGAAGGTGGCAGGGCTAGCAGCAATAGCCAAAAGCTAAGGTAGGAGCTACCTTCAGTGCTCTGAGTTGAGGCTCCACTTTTCAAGCTAGCTTGCCTAGAACCTGTCATAAACTCATGCTTTAAGTGCTTATCTACTTGATACATTTTTTTTGTACTGGTATTTTAAAACTTGGGGTTTGAGTGGGCAACCTTGTGCTAAAGGGAGCTAAGGTATAATCTAGAAACTATAGCACATGAGCACAAAAATTGTTGAAATCCGTAAGCATAAAAACATTGCGAGGGGAATTCCAGATTTTTCCCTTCCCACTTGAAAAAGCTAACTGACCTTTCATTCATCAGATCCCTAGATTCATTTGATTTTATTTTTATTTCTTTTGCAACATTGGCTTTTCTTTTGTATGTTTTAGTAAAGATAAAGACTTATTTCTTCTCTCTAATTTCTTTGCACCAACTAGTGTTGCACCTTATATTAATTCAAGCTTAACCTTAGTCTCTCTTTACTTTTGTATTTATTATGTTTTTAGCTCACTAAAAAAAGTGTTGGAGGCAAAGGGGTAAGGGGAGGGAGATTTTGAATTGTCATCTAAAATCAGGCAGGCTTAGGCTTATTGTGATTTTTCTACAATAGAGACGTGCAGTCAGAAATCCACTGGTGAGTGTTAAAGCTTTGATCCAGACAACTCAATATCTCTCATAAGTCTGGCTGCTGTTTTGAGCACAAAACCCTGAATTAGGTGAGGACTCAGTAGAGGTCATAGCTCATGTGCTTTTCTTGCTTGACCATAAGTTATATAGCACACACCAGTTTAATAGTTGCATGTGTCTTCATCAAAATGGATTAAACAGGCTGTTTGTAAGAGTTGCATATGCCTCTCTCTTTCTTTTGACAATGCGTTTGATACAATAGAAAATCTGAATCATCAGCTCTGCTGGGATCCATTGTGAGCTGGTTTACGTGGACTGTTTGAATCTCATTTAGAGAATAGCCTGGACAGCGTCCAAGTGTACATGTACATACAGCAGTCTATCCAAGCATAGGCACTTAAAAGAAATACTTTCTAGTGGTAGCAAATGTTGCATTAAAGCTTCTCTTGAAAAACCAACTTTTCTGGTTGTTGAGTAATCCCAACTGCATACCTATCCTTAGCTAGTGACCTAATAAAGAACAGTTGATTTGGGAGGAGGGAACTAAGGTAAATCCAGAACTTAGTGTGGCTATGGACTGAAAGTGATTAATACAGCATCTTCTTCAGCAATAGACCTTTTTCTTTGGTGTATTTAGAGTCATATGTGTTTGTTGTAAGCGATGGAAGCTTTTATGGCCTTTTTTACTTATGTTAGCACTGCAGAGCCAGCATAGCTGAGAGGTATCTGGGTTCTGTTCCATGATGTGCACCTCAGCATTTCTCCAGAATTCTAGTCATGCCCACTGAAAGCAGTAGAGTTGCACAGGTGTCAGTGAGGGTCTGCTGAAGCCTACAGAACTTTCCTGCTAGTGGTGCACAAAAATAAACCTACCTTGACTGAGCCCACCTTGAGTGTAGGCCTAAGAGGAAGAAAAGATGGATGGTATCTGCTACCACTGTTGGAGACAAGGTGCTGGGCTAGATGGGTCTTTGTCTGATCCATTACAACAGTTCTTATATTTGTTTTGTAAAGTGAGAACACATAATAGAGACTTCCTAAGACACCATAAAAAATCCTGTAAACCTTTTGCAGTTGTTTTTTTTAGAGCAGAGCCACTGTGAGCATGTCAGGATTGCTCTTGGAAGCTCAGGCATTCTGTCTCTAAACTCTGCTTTTTGAAGCTGGCAGGAGAGCAGGCATCTGTCTGTGCATTGGGCTCTGAACTGGTCACACACAGGTTTTTAATTGCTTGTTTCCATTCTTTGGCATCAGTTGATTGTGGAGCAGCAGGATGAGCAGTTGGAGCTGGTCTCTGGCAGCATTGGGGTGCTGAAGAACATGTCTCAGCGCATTGGTGGGGAGCTGGAGGAACAAGCAGTGTAAGTGCTGAGAAACAAAGCTGAAGGAGTTTTTGGAAATATGATGTTATAATCATCCGATTAGCTATGTTGCTCTTCCTTCTCAGGGTTTCACCAAGTGTACATCTGCAGGGGGTTAAGTGTCGGGTGTTTACCTCGCTAGAAGCAGAACTCCATACTTCACTCTCAGATCAGGACCTGGCTTAGAGTCCATGGAGTGACACGTGACTTCTAACCACAATTGAACCCTTCAAGGGATGCTTTTAGGAGCCGCAAACAAATAGAACATTGAATCCTTTATACATACTTTCACCCAAAAGTTACACAGTATGCAATACCAGGATATAAGAAATCCCACATGTTCCCTTAGCTAAGCCTAACACCTCTGTCCATAGCTTAAGTAAGCTTGGCTCATTCATCATTTGAATTGGGAGAGATGACATGCTCCTTCTTCTACTCTTGCAGAAACTCAGGTTTTCCCTGAACACCCTGGGCACCCTGTCCTACCTCACCCAAATCCCCTACTCTTTTTAAACAGTCTTTGAAATTTTAGGTCTCCTTTGATTTCAGACTTAGTCTTGGGGAGAGTACTAGTCCAGAGGCAGCCAGCCATTGTTAGCTTAATTACCTTGAGGCTGACTGTTACCTGTCAGTTTTACTTTCTCTGCTCTGTTTTTAACCCCTTTAAGTCATACTCTGTACTCTCAAGCAGTAGTACACAATTGAAGAGGGATACTGTCAAACATAATTAAACACCACCTTTGATTACTTCTTTGCAGGTCAACATGTCTGGGGTAACATTAATCTGTAATTATGTCACTGACCAGTAGAGAGGAAAAACTATGCATCACTGGTGAATGTGGTTTTGGAACAGGCAGTCCAAACAGCAACACAACTCTTATTCATAGTTGGGGCTAAAAATAAGTGTCAACCACACAAACAGTTAAAGGGTAGCTTACTGCAGTAATTTTCATCCATATATTTACATATAAATTAGATGTCTTATTTCCCAGTCTGTGTTCTTTGCGATGATATAGTAAAGCAAAGTGTCTTGTTACGTTGGACAGTTTTCCAATTGCAGTGAGACTTTTTCAAAACTGTGGTTTATGTTTAAACACTCCCCATCTTGGGAACATTGGGAGGGAGGGAGTGTCCTGGATTATAAAGTATGGTGGTTTCTTTAATGCATTCAGAGAACTCCAGTATGATTTTCATGTGGAATCTCTCGCTGTGTTTGTGCTGTTGCACGGAACACAAATACACAGTGTTTTCATAACTTTTAGTTGTATCATCAATAAGGAAAAGTGTGCAAATGAGGAAGAGCTGTGTTGGCTTGTGTTCCGTTAAAAAAAAAAAAAAGTAGCTGACAAAATGGCAAGCAGGATGTCAGAAGAAATTTTTATAAGCAATAGGATTTTGCAAGCAGCAAAAAGTGTGAGGTAGATAGAGTGAAAAGGATTGAAATCCTCTTTGAACTGTAAAATATGAACTTTCATTTCTACCCTGGAGAACTTTTTCAATCTTTTCATCTATGTCTGAAGGAGGGTTTTTTTTGCCCGAAAACTTGCAATTAAATTTTTTTTTTGCAAAAATCTAGTTGGTCTAATAAAAGATATCACCAGTACCACAAGTTCTGATTCTTTTTGCCTCTAGACCAATATGGCTACAACTTGGATACCTGAAGTCCTCTTTTAAATTGTCAAGGAAGCTTTAAAATATCTGCCTTTCAAGGTGTACTTTGTCTGACTGAATTTTTGTCAGTGATAAAAGGTTTTACGATCTGTTATTGTTGCTACATGGAAGAAGTGGATTAGTAATTTGTGAAATTAAAAACCCTCTCACAAACCATTCCAAATTACATGCTCTCCTGATATGCTACTGACATGAAGCTTTTGGCTTCAGTGCCACAGTCTTTAATAGTAAAACTGATTGAGGTTCAAATATCATTTAAGTCTAAACATGTTCTACTAATTTTGGATTATAAACTTTTTTCTTAATGTGAGTTAAAACCTGCTGCACAATTTAGAGATCACGATGTACAGGCAGGTCATGACTCCACACACAAGGGAAATCACTGTAACGCAATGAATCCTCATTTACCATCAAAATAAAACTGCTGATTGAGCAGTTTTTTGCTTTGATACCATCAAGAAACCATAAAACAGGCTTTACTTTGCCAAGGTGCTTGGGTTCTGTTTATGTATAGGCATTTAGCAGTTTTGTAAGCATGCTGAGAACTACTTGAGAGACCCCTCACTAGCTAATCTACTTGACACAGCTTACCTTTTCTCTGCCCTCAGGATGTTGGATGACTTCTCTCATGAGTTAGAAAGCACACACTCAAGGCTTGATAATGTTATGAAGAAGCTTGCAAAAGTCTCTCACATGACCAGCGGTAGGTACTGGAAATAAGATTTGTTTTTGTGCCTTTTTTTTTTTAAACAGGAAATTCAAGTTAAATTTATCTTAGGTCTGAAATGTGTTTGCTTTCTCACTTGGACCAATGGTTAGCATTCTATTGCATGTTTGATACAGAACATGGATGAAGCAGGTCCCAGACTGGGTAAATAGTTAAGGGAAAGCAGTGTTATATGGTTTGAGCCTAAAACCTGGCAAGATGTAGTTCATGCTGGGACTGTGTCCCTTTGGTATTTTATGTGGCGTTTGGGACTGTCTGCATGATAAAAGAATCTGCCTTATGGAGACTACAGCAAGCTTCTCTTTCATTATCCCATTCTACAGTTTTAATACATGTTTGCTAAGGATATAGCTAAAGTTATGTAATTTGAATTAAACAGTTACAATTCAGTGTAAACAAGTGATTTATTCTAAACCCACAGTAACGCTGGCCAAAACATGTTCCCTCTCTGTGACTTGGTTTTGAGCTTCCATTGTGGACCAAACCAAAAATCAAGCATGGCCCTTATCCAAACCTTCAACATTTGTGAACTCAAACTTAGCATTTGCCCTAGCCTTGGATGCTTCAGGCATTCACTCAGCTGGTAAGATTCTCACCCTGAATGACATGAATTGAGTGGCTTTAAAAAGCAGGAGCAGCTGAAAAAAGAAACCAAAAGTCAATATCAGGCATGTCTCTTGCCTTTGTCACAGTTTAGCAGAATAAAATAACATAAGCTTAGTTCAACTCATAGTTTTACACTTAGCACTAGAACATCCTGATAAATCAGCTCTTCCCATCAACTAAGTGATGAGAGGGTGCTGTCTGGTGGAGAGGTGCAGCTCATGTGAAAAGCTATTATAAGGCTCTCCACTGAACTTGGTAGGTCCCAGACCTGGCAGGATGCCGAGAGTGGCAACAACAGGAAGTATGGTTATATGGGCCGTCTTATGACTTTCAGGAAGTCTCAGTCATCAGTTGTTCCCATTAATAAGCTGTGTTCTTTAATTGCCTTCCAATATGTATTATCTTGCCTTCCTTGGGTTGCTTTGGTGTATCTTTAAAAGTAGTGGGTATATTACATGGGCCAAAAAGGAGAAAAGTACTACTGGCATGCCAGATTCAGATGCCAACTTATTTAATGAGGTGCTGCTTTGGAGGAGACTAGCAAAAGATCAGTACTTCCTGATCTTTCAAACAGGTATTATGGTATTCTACAGGTCACTGTCTGTTGATGGCAGTAAGCAGCACAGAGTCACAGGGTGAAAAGGCCCTCTACAAATAGCATCCAAAACCAAATGGTTAGATTAATTCAGCATTTGGTCCTGTTGGTGACCACTATATGCAGCTGGGAAATGACATAGGATTTTGGCAGTATAGACACTTGGCAAACATAAAACTGGGCTCACTTGTTCCTGCAAAGAGCATTGTAATTTTTTTTCAATTACTATGAAAGATTTGAGGCAAATTCAGAAAAGATGGCTTGTGTGTGATATAGCTTGCCACTAGATCACAAGGGGTCTAGTTTTAGCAAGTTTGAGATCTTTCTCCAGGATTGTAGCTTTGCTTTCTGAAATAACAGTGGAAACTATAGAATGCAGTGTAAGCAGGATTAGATGAGCAGCTAAAAATGACCATGTTCACCCTACAGCTTCCAGCACTGTAAGTACTGGTGGAATTGTACCAATAATAGGATCTTAGTCATTGCAAAAGTGGTAAGGGTGAACCCACCAACAGTAAAAGTTTTGCCTTCTGCCTTTTAAAAACACACCCCATAATAAAACCATTGCCTTGTATTCTAAGGTGGGCTTTAAGCCACCTGTGTCTCATCCTTTACCTACATATTCTGTTTATTTAAGGGCTTCTATACACAGTAGTGACTTCAGTGGCTGCAATTGTTTTAAAATAGGTAGCTCAGGAACTGGTAGCTGTTCAGCTGTGGTGACATTAAGCACAGTGTGGGTTAACCTGCGTGGGCTGAGAAATGGAATAAACTATCCAATTTAGCATTGAGCTGCTATGGCAGGACTGCTTCCAGTACCTAAACTAGCTTGGGCATCCCTACACTGGTTGCTTTTGTGACTAGTATGGACCTACTCTAAGACTCTGTCCCATTTTCGTCTAGTAACTGGGAAAGTCACAGCTCTGGTTTAATCTTCATACATAGTGATCATTTAGGGTTTTCCAGATCTTGCTTAAACTCTCTGGCAAAGAGGAAAGTTAGAAATGAGTATTGCTAATAGTTAGGGGAATGGTCTCTCTTCTTTCTTAAACAGGATTGAGGGGCTCTTGAGATCTTACAGAAGTAGTACAGATTTTACTTTCTTGCTGGCTAATACATCTCTAAAAGTTAGTTGCTCCCTTGCTTTGGCAGTAGGACCTCTTGTAAAAGCTTCCTAAAGCAGTACAGGGCACAGCATAGGTGACACAAAGTACTTAGCAGGTAGGAGATTTCTGACACCTGTCTTGTGTAATATGTTGGTGATGCCTTCATTATGGGTCATACCAATATTTCTGAGGAGAAAATCCAGTTCTTGGGTTTCTCCCAAGGAGTGTGTAGCTGAATTATGGCTAATGCATTTTAGAAATCTTTCATCAGACCTCAGGTCCTTTTTTGTTTTATGGCTTTCTTCTAGCTTGAATTGGGATTCTAGTAATGCAGTGGAAAACAACCTTTTTTCTGCCTCCTCATAAAAGGAGAAAACTAATGCATTTCCTCTTTTCTTCTTCCAGATCGACGGCAGTGGTGTGCTATTATCGTTCTCTTTGTCATCTTACTGGTGGTGCTTATCCTGTTTTTTGTGCTGTGATGGACTGACCTCTCTTGAACACTTTTTCCCCTCTTAAAAAAATGGGGAAATGAGACTCAGTTTCTGTTTCCGTCCACCCACAGAGATTACTGTCATGTGAACTTGCATCCGGATGCTACTGTTGTGTTCTGTGGACTAACACCTGTGGCCTGACTCTTGCAAGCCCCTTCATTGTCTCATTCTAAGCCTTCTTGACTTGCCTGAGGGGGAAGATGGAGGCCTAAAATTCTTCTGCACCTGAGAGATGCTGCTCTTTGGATAATAGGATCCCCATCCTGGATGCATGGGACTAGCTTTGGACTTTAGAATAAGGCGGTTTGGAAGGAGTTTACTGCTTAGTATTTCTCTCTGTTGCAGGTGTGAAGTTTGGAAGCCATCCTAAACTACCACATGCTCTTCCATCTCCTTATCAAATGCCATTCTCGTCAGGTTCAGAAATAGAATAATGGTTCCTTAGGAAGTTGTTTCATTGATTATGGAACCCATCACCAGCTAACTGTGAAGCACTTCCAAGCTAAGCAGTTGGTTAGTAGGAAGGAAGGAAGGCCCAGGAGTACCAATGTCAGTAAATGCATTCATTCTTATTCTATGTTCACACTGACACAGGGCCATTAAAAGATGTGCAGAGGTAGACTGCCTTCCCAGTGGTTCATATATACTTTGCTTCTGAAAATACTGTATTGGGAGCAGTAGGCTTTTGAGCATTAAGGAGTTACTGTTAGGGGAGCAGTGTCTTATAACTGCTGAAATGAAATCCAATGTGAATCAAGTCTATAATAAACAAGTTGGGGGACCAGTGCAGGCAAGGGCTACTGGCCCTGTACATTAGAGTGGTCTTCTATCAGTAAGATTAATGTGACTTCACACAGTGAAATCCATTGAACTCTAATATGCTAGGATGAATCTTGAGCAAAACATAAGCTTGCAAGACATCTCAGCGTCTTATACATGACATGTATGTGAACTCTACAAACATTGTATTGCTGTACCCGAGGCAGCTGCGGTTAAACTCCAGAGCTTTAACTTTCTGTTTTCATGCACTGCAAGCTAAAAGTTGGTAAATACACTCTAGTCTGCAGCTGAACTTTTTAAAAAGCTTTTTTCCCCTTTTCTTCTTTTAAATTTTCTTGGTTATACAAGCCTCTAAAAACTCATTGACTGATGCTGTTTTTGCCCTTGTATACCTGAGTAACTGCTTCCTTTAACAGCTGCTTTCCTTTCTGCAAATGATTCTCTTTTTCTTTTTTTAAACTCATGGTGTTTGAGAAATAAACTTCAAAGATTTTAAAAATTATTAGGGCCATGTTCTCTCCTTAAATGTGTGTCACTCCCCCCAAGTCAATTGTGTACACGTATCAGAGTAGATTATGGCCTGAATGTATGTTAACACCTACCTAAATAGAATGTCTTAAAACATTTATTGACTTGGTATATTTTGAGAGTTGTTGACACAAACCAAACGCCAGGAAATTCAAAAGTCAAGTCAGACTTTTGTTCAATATTCCCAGTCCTTTGTTAGCTTTGAATTGCTTACCAGTTTAGTCCCGTTTCATATAATTTTCTCACTTTATACTCAGTGAGTCACTTATTTAAAAATATGGGTGAATAGTAATACCAGAATTTTATCTAGAAATATTTGACCTGGCTTTTTTGGACAGAAATCCAAATAGCACTTTTGGGCTGTAAAACTGATTAAAGAAAAATAGGCGGGGGGGGGGAAGGATTAAGTTCCTTCTACCCCTTCTCAGACCTAAATTTCTCTAGAAATGATTAACACTATTGTTTGTTTGGTTCTTTTTTCTTTTTAAGCTGGGTGTGTGAATTAGTACCTATACACAATAGACTGGCAAAAATTTCATAGTGCTTCCAAAAAAACAGTGCCTCTTTCC